TAATGAGATATACTTCGACTTGCTCTCTTGAACTACCTAATGCGTCTGAGGGTAGGTAGATTTCAGTTTTCTTCTCGAAATCCTATCATGTGACCACGCGTTCATAACCTCTGCCTTCATATGGTGGGGGGGGATGTTCCTCACAAAAGTGAAAGGGTGAATACAATCGTCTAGCGCTGACAACCGGACTAGTAGACATACTTGTCTCCCTGGAGGAGCTGGAAAATCCTGATTCCAAACTTATGGTGTACATGGGCTCAAGAATCCGAACGAATCAAACGGTGTATGAACCTGTTCTGGTCACCGGAAATCATGGTAGCGCTGCTCCACTACTTTTAGGATGCACTTCAATCCGAAAGTTTGAGAGTGGCCCCTCAAGACATCCACCTGCTTCGGTTTGGGCGTCTGGACAGTATCCTAGTCCTAGCAAACTCTAGGAGATTTTGTGAGGCTCATCTCTTGGTACCCATAACGTACACCAAATTTTTGTCTTGATACATAATAACATTTCGACCAATATGGTTCGTTGAGTGAATGACTTTACTAAGTAGAATTATCCTCTCATATAGTATCGCAAGTCTGAAAGATCACATCAAGTAAATACAATGGAGAAAAATATATTTTATGGGGAGGAAATGCAAAAAGCTATTGTAACCTATATTGAAGTAAGTCGAAATAATGATATATGATGTGATACCTTCAGTGCCGTTGTTTCGCTTCTGTGAAACACCAAATACTTACTACTGTTCATTTACAAACAACCGTAACTCATCTGGTGAGTTTAGATACTCGACGTACAACCAACGGGTAGTAGTGAATCCGAAACCCCAGTTTTCTGTGTAAGTTTGTCACTTATAATCATATACACCAATATAATCACGCTTTAGTATTTCCACTCACCATCAAACTTTAACACACACAAAAAAGTCGGATTGTCACTGCTTATTGTATTATATATTATTATTCTCTTGCGTTCCGAGTGGAACACAGAGCCTCAACAACACATATCCACTTTGTTCTATTCTCAACTGTCCTCTTCAACTGGGTTCACGGTTGATCTTGGTTGGTTGGTTCGTCTCCGGAGTTGCATGATGCTAATTTTTTCTGGTCAACCATTTGATCTTCACTATGAAGCCAGCTGTTGATAAAAGTCTGCAGCCTGTTGAAGATACTTCTCAAGACACAAGCCGTTTCTGACCGATATAGAAGAACTAACTGATTTGACATTTGTGTTGTGAATCCGAATCTTGTTCTTTACACCTTGAAGTGCAGAAGATTTCCAAACTGGTTTCAGGCCGATGAAGATGTATCTTGCCTCGCCTAGTGCGGCCAGCTTTGACATCTTCATCCGTTCGGCCTGTGGTTGAAACAATGCTTCCTAGACAAGTGAAGGAAATAACCTCTGCGAAATCTCTCCCGTTGATGGTAATTGTTGTTGTTGTTGTTGCTGTTGGTTGGTTATCTTCATCACCTCCGTCTTCTCTATGTTCACCTCGCGTCCTGTTTTCGCTGCCTCTTCAGCCAGTTTAGTGGTTTCCGCTTGCAAAACTTCAAATATATGTGAAATTATACATATATGATCCACTCGCGAAATCATGATCTTCTAGAGTCTTCTTCTTGGTCCGGCGTATTTCTGTCTTCTCATCCCCCACAGTCTGATGCATAATCCAGTCCAACACAATTAAGAATATCAGTTGGTGATAACAGGCAGCCTTGTCTTACTCCTGTTTTCACTTCAAAGGCTTCTTCGAGTTTCCCGTTGTGGATCACCTGACACGTGGCACTCTCATATAGGTGTTGAGTGAGGTTGATAAAGATTTGGGCACTGAGCGCTGTGGTATTGAAGCAGTTTCCAAATTACTTCTCGGCTAACGTTGACTGTCGAAGGCCTTTTCAAAGTCAATGAAGTTAAGGTACAGGTTTGACTGCCAATCTATGCTTTATTCGATGATGATGCGTAGAGACTACCTGTTGTAATTCATATATATTCAATTGTAAAGCTATGGAAATGAAACCGTCGAAAAGAGAATTTTCTTCGATGAAATCTTTGTTTTCTTCAAGTTTCGTCATTTGAGCAGAATAAAATCGATCAATGTTATGCAACTTTTGAAACATTTTTAAGACGAACCCGCTGAAAGCTAGAGGACATTAAATTATGCAACGGTAATGTTCAAGTTAACTAACTAAAAAATGTTAATATATTTTCCGTTTATCAACATAAAATTATTTCGCGTTGCATGCGATTGACTAGAAATAACGAAATGAAATGATGTCACATTATCCTGCCTCAAAGTTTTGTTCAAGTTTATCAAGGCTAAACAATGGTATGAAATTTTAGCATGAACAGCTTGACAGAAGTATCAATAGCCTTGCATACTGTTGATATAATAGATTGTCTGAAGAAGCATCCGACTGACGAATTTCCTCTCCTTTCTATTAAAATCAAAACTTTAATTCACCTACACCGTAAAACAAAATTATTTGACTTAATTTTTGTTCATGCTAATGCATATTGTCTTGTCTGATGATGGCGATTGTCTTTGTTTTACATTTTCTGTCGATAGAATTTTTAATCTCTAAATAATGAGAAATTTATTTTCACTTACAGGGTACATTTTACGCTGTTGATAAACTCCTAACAGTACGACAATGGATTTCAGAATGTTTCTCTGAACCATGTTCATTTCGTTTGTATACTCCGCCTAGTCTACAGTTAGCTGCACGTTTGAAAGTACCGCCAACAACACAAGTTGAATTAACCGATGATGATGCCGGTCTAAGTGAAATGGGTTTAGCACCTTCCAGTTTAATTAATTTGATCTTTGAAGAGGATCATCAACAAAGAAAGACTTCAACTCGTCTACGAGCTGATTTGAGTCGATCAATTGAAACAATTTAATATTGTGACACTGTGCTTGTTAATAATACTAATTTCTCACTTTTATTTAGCATACTTTGTTGTTTGATTAATGTTTTGAGATGAATTCTGTGCTTTTGGTTCAGATATAATTTAAAACTGTCCTTGGCCTCTTCTTACTTCAGGAATTTTGAAGAATACATAAATAAACTTATATAATTATTTTATTATTCTGTCTGTGATATACATACATATATATATATATCTTTGGTATTTATTATTGATGTTGTCTGTATTATTAAAATGTGCGAGAATCATCACTTGATTCCGAGTTGTTTCTCATTCGAACTATACAAATATTTTATTTGTATATCTATTTAACTTTCACGGTCTTCAGATGGTAAAAGGAAATAAATTCGCTTGCATTATAAACCTACTTTCAAACTTGTATTTGTTTTAAAAAGGCCTTTGTCGATCGATCTATTAAGCTTTTTGAGAAGATAATTTCCCCCGTTATGTATTGACAGACAACATCTTCGCTAATGAATAGCGATATATTTCACTAGATACACGCAAACATCAGCCAATGAAATCCACAACAGCTAGTTTAATTCAGCGAGCCACGTGCGGAGTCTTTGGGGTGATAAAATCTAGTGTCTGGAGACAATCGATGATATGGATCAGAATCGTTCTCAACGGCTGGCGCAGATGCATTCACTCCTTGTGATTCATAATATCTAATAAAATGACATATATATAATCATTCGTTTAACCTCATATTTCTGTTTATTATCCCTCTCTACTGTCTTCACTTGCTTTGTGTGCTACATGGAGGGAGTGTGGCAACTCGAATTGCTGCACATCTTTGCAATGTTCTACGATGTAACCAGTCAGTCAGATGCAGCAAATTAAAATGCTTTCTTTATATAAGGGGACGTAGTTATAAAGATATCTCTTATTCTTTATCTAATTCTGGGTTATCTGAATTCACCAATAAAATGCTGTCATCTGGGCTCAAACTGTCGACTATGCTACATTTCTTGTCCATTGATGCTAATACTAAAATGGTACATGTATCTGAGAGTTTTTACAATGAATATTAGGATAACTGTATGAGTAGATTTGGTAAGTTGTTCAAGAATATGATTTTCCGGACAACTATATAGAGTAGTGGCCGATGTGTTTACAAATGAAATCCTTTCTCAGACTGCTGGTTCTTCACTGGAGTATTAAAACGTCTGCTTGTGTGTGTGTTAAAAGTAAGTCTTGTTTTTGAGGGTTGTACAAAGTATGATTTGATGCATGTTTATTAAGGTATCAAAGTAAGAATGTCATTATGTAATCTACTTCAGTGGGCATCTCTATCACTACTGCTAATCCTTTTTCTCACTGAGTATAACGAACCAACTAAAATAAAGGCACGTCTACATCAACTTAAACGGCTGCATCAGTGACGCATTTCTTTCCTCTTGTACAATATCATCATTATTATTACTGTGAACACGTAGACTTTTACTTCAAAAATGTAATTCTCAGTATTTCGGTCATTCATTAGTGTCTCGCTATACACATCAGGTATCATGCGTCTAGGGATAACACGTATGCAAAATTTAAGCGAATTCCTATAATCAGCTAAATACTCAAGTTGACTAGAGTTTGTGGCTGCTGATTGATTGTTATCAGGAAATCAGATCTGTTAGTTTGATCCCGTATAAGTTATCTTCACCTACTTACCATGAGATTTAGTGTACCGATATGCACACTTATCTTTTGGTGGATTTTAACATACATTTTCGGAAAATCATCTGAATGAACTTCAAATCATTACTACTGGTCCAGCATGTCTGCAATATATTTATTCATCCTTCATGTGCCGAATGGAACAGAATTTCATGTAACCTGTTGTCTACAGGGTTATACAAATTATACTGCTCTTAACGAAAACGTAGTTTTAATACTTAACGGTTAAATTGTTTCAAAAGCAATTTTCGTCTCTTTTCTAATTAATTAACATTAATTCATTACTCTACGTCTCTTTTCGTCATTCTCAGTGTCTCCATCACACTTTCTACAAACATTTTAGAAGTAACAAATTTAATTCCTTTTATACACCAGAGATTTATTGTATACACAGGTTTTTTCTTTACATCTTTTCGACTGTTTCGATTCCAAGTATATCAAATCCACATTTCATTACACGGGCAGTAGCTTCACATAACAAAATGCGTTCTTTGTTGATTTGGACATCACCTACGATGTATAAAATGTAAATTTATACTTATGCGTTAACATTTTTTACCCAAAAAATAACAAGTGAATTTAATCAATCATTGGAATACTGCATGAAATACAAAACCTCCATTGAGTGTCACCTCTTAGGCTGGAAAAGAGTTAGGGATAGTCAAACCAAAACCTGACATCAGACTATGAAGTCTTTGACAACTGGTTTGAGCCAGCCACGTAATTACATGTAGGTTGTCTGACTGAGGTTTCAGGGATGCTAAGAACCAATGGCTAGGGACTATCGGTGATATGGCTGAAAATCGTTCTCCATGACTCAAATGCATTTACACTCTCTGTGATCCCATGTCCCTTTCCTTCTCCCTCACATTTTCGCTTTTTGTGGTTCTCTTGGATCTCTTTTCCCTCCACGTTATCTACCTTTTGTGTGGCAGCTAAATGTAACCAGCCTTAAATACCTTGGTTGTGCACCTCCTCCAAGTATTGTCTCCACTTTGCTTTTACTCCAGATGGAAAACCAATTCACAAGATGCTGAGCCATAAGTATTATGTGAAAGCCAGTTATGCTGTGTGTTTTCACAGATGTCGTTAGGAATACAACTTGTACCCCACTGATCAAGCATGCAAACCAATAAGCTACAGTATTACTATCGTCTACTAATTGAGACCATTTGATAACAAATGAAGTGAATGGATATCGAAGAATAATTGATTCCTAATTGAGAAGCAACATATCCAATGTGAATCGCAAAATAATACCATGAAACTGATTCAAGTATAAAACAATTTTGTTGTAAATCTGAACTTTTACAGTTTATCTGCTCTCTACTCTCACATGCTTATATGCAATCTTATTATATCGTAATGGCAGAACACAAGATAATTTGGCAAGGGAATTAGTAATTGGCAACTCGGTGTATAGACATAGGTAAATGACGTCTAAGACATATTAGAACCTCTATTTGCACATATCTTCGGTGTTGTGCTACTTCGACTTCCTTTCATGTTTTCCATATTGTTTCAAAAACTCCGCTATTTGATATTCCTGCAGACGATATACATATTTGTATCTGCATCTATATACTACTTATAAATCTTGTAAGTGATAGCACACGCCACAGTGTTATTGCTGCATTATGCACACGGCATTTAGTCCCTTTGGTTAGTTTCCCTTCGCACTGTATCGATAATGAGATTAAATCGGTTGCAACAATGCACTACCCTATTGCAATAGAAGAACATGTGCGCTAATACAGAAGACCTCGTTTTATTTAACCTGAGTTGGATGCCTGAATAACTAGCCCGAGGTATTTTAGTTGCGCTTTACTATATGAAGCCAACAAAAACAATCAACTACACACTACTAAAATAATGAAAGCTAATTTGAAAAAAAAAAAGAATTATAACCAATAAACATACCTGTTGCCTGATTACGTTCAATGCAATAACAAGCATCATAAAAACTGGTAAAAGTACAACACAGCTCATAAAGATAATCACATAGGCTGTGCAACAAGAAATCATTCTGAATTTTCAGTAAAATATCTGGTAATCGACATAAAGCTTTAGCCAATGTGAACTCCATAGGATGGTTAAATAATAAAGGTACTGTTTCTGAGATTTCATTGATTGTCTGTTCCGAATAGCCAGCATTTCTGATTATTGATCTGTAAATAAATAAGAGTATACGAAATCAAGGTTTGCTCAGCGTTAGTTTTCCAGCTTGAAAATAATATTCAGTCTATCGGTTTGATAGGCGTTGGACTAATTTCAATGAACAAAATGACCTCAGTCTAAACAAGTTACATTAATTTGTTTCTTTAGATTAATTTGACATTTCCCGTTGATTGAGTGTTTCGGACTGAAGTGCTCGTTCTCTGTTGACAAGTCGGCTTTCAGTACGGACGCTTCAACAATGTCTAGGAATTGTTTTCATTGGTAGTGACTAGCAGTGGGATCCGGGATGTGCATCTCGTCCTGTTTGGTATGCGGCACCTGGATACAGCTGCATACCCCAGTGAGCGATGGCGTGTCCACTGAGACTCGAAACCTGCACCCATCATTTCAGATGCCAACAGGTGCTACTCTTGGCCTTGTGTATCATGTTTCGCCGTTTTAAATGATGGTTATAGACTCGAATCTAAGCAGGAACACCACTACTCACTGGGAGTGTACGCACATCCAGCTGACGAATCCCGAATAGCTCGAAATGCGCATTCTGGATTCCCCAGATAGTCACTACAAACCAAAATAAATTCAATTTGTTTCTTAGGTTACACAGCGCATTGTTTACACACACTAAAATAAAGTAGTTGTTAGATTACTAGTTTAACAGAGAAAGATATTTGATGAATACAGAATTTCAAACAGTTAATTACTTGATACGAGTATATGCATATAGCAAGTAAACTGCAGTATTTCCTTTATCATCCAACATCTGAAAGTATAATGGTCAATAGTAAAAACAAATCCCATGAAACATTAAATCGATTGAAAAAAATTTCAGTTCTATTTAATTTCACTACAAAGGTTGTATAGTGGATAATTAATTACAGCAACTCAAGTCAACGGGCATAATCATGACCTCGGTCAACCAATCAGATGAGTCCATAGTTAGTACGTGGAATTATAGATGCAGTACACGAATTACGTTGTAAATTCAATCCATATCTAGTATTTCACCACTGTCTGGATAACAGGTCCGCATGATGGAACAAAACATACAGATGTAGAGGAGTAATATCATCCTGGAGACGTGCAGCCGCTGTTGATATGCATCTATACAGGTGTCCAGATTGTTTGTGCAGAAAATTTCACCCAAAAGGTATGACGTTTCTTTTTTAAGTTCATGGATGATGTAGTGAATGGGTTGTGAAACAGCATGATGTACAGTTATCTGGATGAATTTATTTATGTACAGAAATTAGTTCGACCTATCAATAAATACTTCAATAAGGAATTGGGAAGTTTTCTCGCAACACACACAAGAACATTACCCCGGATAACTTTTTTAACATCACATTAAAATTAACACTGAAAACAGTATTTCCAGGAACACTTTCCAAGTGTGTTATTTCGAAAATTTCATAATCCATTACAACTCCAATTTAGTCATTTACTCTACTTCTTTGGAAAAGAAATTTCATTTTATCGAAAAAGGAAATCCTCTAACTATTTAGCAGTTGTGCTAAATTATAAGGCGAAACTATCCAAATTATTAAATGCTCCATTATTTGGAAGATGTTTCATATTATAATTTAGCACAGTGATCGAATGGACCTTGGGGTTTTAAAGGGATCTAACACTTTCGCCATATAGACAGTGATTTACAACTTGTGGCACAACCCAAAAGACAGTAAGTTATTATAAGTTTCTTATACGGTGATTAAACACTGCAATAGCCACAGTTCATCGCAGTTATCCCTTCAACTAAAGAAGGAAAGGGCAGTAACCACCAGCAGATATCTAATTTTGGCCTCTAATCCTGAATGGTGACTTTACTTTAAAAAACAGGCAATAAGTGAAAGGAAATAACGTCTATGGATTCAGCCGAAAAGATTTTTAATCTCAACAAATCGAATCTCCTGGCTTTCATTACCAATTTTAAATAAATAACGAGAAAATACGTTCCAATATGGGTGATTAAGTCTCTTTAAAATTTAGTGTTCACATATTTCCCCCTACCAGAAGGCAATTACTTGCATTTGATATAAGTATTACTTACCCTGTCAAAATGCGACAAATCAGCGTATTTAATACAACCGTATGCAACTGCCTTTTGAGCACGCTCCAGTTCAGCTTCAGTTAATTTCTGAATAAAAGGAAAATGACAAACGTTAGTGTCATATGATAACAAAGTACTGGTATTATCATTATTATCATTCTATTATTTTGTGTTTCACAAAAGCATCATAATTGGCATTATTTGCCCGCATTAACTGACCAAAATACAATGATCAAAAACAAAAATAAATATTTCATAACAACTAAATAACGACATAACTTAATTTAAATGTTATTCAAAATGTGTAATCTAGGAGAATTAGAGAAATTGTTGATTGGAACATTAGTTACAAAATTGTTTAGTAACCTCACTTCAAAAATGACAATAATCCCGAAAGCTTTTTGTATTGCTGTGTTCTACAAGCTGCGAAGCTATCAGTGTTCTTCTAAACATCTTCGGTGCTAATCTCAAAATGACTTCATTCACCTGAGCTACAGATCTTCGTCATTGTTTCGAAAAAAACAGAAGCTAGTTGGCTGGGAAGTATATATGTTTATTCCTGTTACTTACCGCTACTGTACTTTACTAGAATTAGATGAAACACGCAAGAAACGCCCAGTTGATCAATCAATCCTAAATGCAGATGACTTTTTAGTGAAGTTGTGCTAGTTTTGCTGTAGATATAGATTGGGTTTGGCGGTCGGTTTGACAACAAACACTCATATCAGCCAACAAAACAAGGTATGATAATAACCGGAGTTTTTACCTATCTTCACTAAGAAATAACACTAAAAAATACTCTTGTAATACACGGAAAAGTTTACTTCACTGATGCAAACACCACTTTTCTTGGAATAATTGTCAAGTGGATAAATACATAATATAACATGTTAGTCGCAAGTAGATATTTTTAAAACAAATCCTTATTTATTGCACAAATTTCACATAGTAGTTACGTTGCAGTTAATTTCACTCTGCTTGTATTTCTCACGTCACTGACTCTTATGACGGAGTGATGTTGGGCTGGGGTTCGTCTAACTTGACTAGTGTGAGCCACCAGAACACGACACTATTACTAACAGACCACTTGCAATTATCTTCCACACTCAGATACAAAAATCACACTGGGAAAAAAGACGTCCCTTATTACATAAAATACGCGGCATCTTATATTTGTACAACCCTCAGAAAATTAAGCCATAGATAAACGAATGAAAACTGTTCAATAAGGTTATCATGTCAGTAGTATACGCATAAATCATAACTCCACTGCTAAAAATGCCTGTCAATCCTGAAACTGACACCCAACAATTCACTTTTATACAGGTAGGCATAAAAATAACAACCCTAGTTTTCTCAATCCATTAGCAATTACAACACTAATATGCAAGTCGCCTCCTAAATAATGCCATGATTTCGTATGTCCATGAGTCCATACGAGATGATATGCCTCAGACCTTCATAACTTCACTCTTAAAGGACAACTTAAACCTTACAAGTATAACAGTAATGCATTCACGCACAAATAACTGCGGAACTCTAATTAAACCGACTCACTTCTTCATTATGGTATTGTTAGTGTTTCCACTTAGTTTTATATTCATATTCTTACTGAACAAAATTATCAAGGCTATGGCATGTTTTAATTATCACCTCTGTCATCAAAAAGTTGGATGCAATACTGTACTACATGCTGGAAATTCCATATTTGTACCAAAAATATTTTCTGGAATAAACCTATTATATTATCATGACTTCGCGTTCTCGCTGATGATTTCTCATCAACCAAAGGTGGTGCAAGTAAACTATTCTACAGGCTCTTCTGGTGACTTGATGGGCGTGCACTAGATGGGCGGTAGGGTTGTGAGTGCGCACTGCCACATACTCCCGAAAACGACGAAAGACCTCCTCAGTTCTCTTTGGTCTTCTAAGTGATGTCACTTCGTGATATAACCTAATATATCTGAACCGCCCAAACACGCATTTTCCATATCCATGTAGGTGGATCGGAAAACTCAGACAGGATAACTTCCATAACTCGTCCACTAGCACAAGCCACTCATCACTAGTGAGTTTAGCACTGACCACGTCTAAGACATGAAGATACGTCTGGAAAAGAATGGGAACTGTATTTCAATTGCACACGAAGCATGAGTTGATGATCATGTAATAGGTTGCGAGCCACATTTAACCTACGAATAAAGGCATTCACAACAAATTTCTTACATAACACTCATGTGACAAGAACTCTAATTTTTCATATACCAAGATATGAGCCACGCGTATGCAATGAGGGTTAATGACACTAATTGTTGTTGGGGCGATAGATTACAAGCAATGCCCTTCCAAAACAAAGACAAATACATCTGCACCAAGATAAGAGGAAGTTCAAGGATATCTGTGACACACGTTTTAGGCGATGTACTGAACTAATCAGTGCAAAACTCGATATAGCAGACGTTACAGCGACATACAGCTCAGCCACCTAACAATTGTCAGTGGTCCAGTGAGTGTCTACCACTAATACACAGGTCACAAATCACCTGATCCTCCAAATTTGTCAATCAAATACTATGACTTAGCTCTAGTGAAATACACCAATACCGACCTTTCAGACTAACAGGAATATAAGTTACCCACTGGAAGCACAACGACAACAAGTCCATAGGAAACATTGCAAATGTGGTGCACTAAAAGTTCACCAAAAACACAAGAAACCTGCACATGAGGCATTATTATGCAAGTTTTCTCAATCATCTTACCTCAGATGTCCAACGTGCATTTCTTTCGCGATGTTCGGAGAGGACATGTCAACAATTACGGAATATTTGTGAGGGATGAATGGAGGCGTAACTCCAAAACGTAATATTTTGTTGATCTCTGCAGCGACAAACGTATGACGAATCCAGATGTTCATGAAGCCAGGGGGAACAATATCTACCTACAGATGGGTTACTCAACAACGCAAACACTAACTTTTTCAATCAAATCATTAACTGGTAGGGCAGAAACAATAGACTTGGCAATATCCAGCGGGCTTAGTTCACTATTGATTTCCTAAGGGCTACATAAGGATTATAGGACATACCTTTCGAATGGCGAGAGCAGAATTGCACTGGTAATCCCCGAAGCTACGTTTCGTAGGTACATTCAGTTGCACGGAGTGTTTGATATCCGTGAAGACACCTTTGATAGCATAATCAAAGAGTGAAGAGACAGCCGCCTGAATGCCAATGACGTTATGCTTCGTTTGAATTTCCAGCTCCCTCAAATACTACAACAATCAGAATTGTTTTGTCTTACCTTTTCTAAGTGATTTGCCTGATGCTGTGATTTCTCCCCATCCTCCAGCAATTTTTTGATGTCGGAAAATTCTGTAGATGAAGTAAGTTGTTCGCACTCATTTTGTAGACACCTGATTGGTTTTTGCTGTAATTTAAAGAGTGAACCGACGCAGAATTCTCAAACCTCAACGCAGTATGACGTCATCTCAACGACAAGATAGCGGCACAAACGGCTTACGGAGAGGCTGAGCACTTGCAGGTCACTTATACACACTGTGATTGGTAGATTTTCCTTTGATTTCAGATTCAGATTTATTGGTTGAGAAGGCTTGGAGCCGATATTAACCCGACCAAGTTAAACTTTAGACACCAATGACTATCAATCAGCGAAAGTTTAACATTGCCATTAATCCTTTTCTAATAAATTTCTGTGGTCATCCAAACCCTTCTGGAACGAATCAGTTGAGGTTGCAGACATCACTTCTTCTGGGAGTCAGTATTAGCACAATTGTGCTGCTCTATTTTGACTAAACTAGCGTACACGTATATCCTAGTACTTCTTCGCGTTTATAATTGTGTTTTAACGTTGTGATTACTCGACATCCACAACGTTATTCAAAAGGCACTTGCGGAGGAATCCGATAGTGTATTATTGCAGCAATCAAAAATTCAAAATCGATCGAGATCAAAAGTATCAATTATTAACACGCAATCTTTAGAGTGATAAACAAGTCAAAGTCCAATTACATAGTGAAAGTATACTGCGATGATGAGTAATAAAACGGGTCACTACATCGGTTCCAAGAGTTTATGACTCGATGTGAGAACCAGTACTCAACAGCAGTGATTTCTTGACTTTTGAACTCTCCTGCTATGTCTTCTAAGGTGTTCCGACCTGGTGGGGAGGAAAAGAGAGAATAGGTCTGGTCCGTAATCATTATTTTAAATTTTAAACATTGTGATTAAATCTCCTCTCTGCCTACAGTATGACAGTGAGAAGAGATTTAAACTGTCTAGTCTTTCCTCGTATGATAAGTTAGTCATGACGTGAACCATACGTGTTACCTTCCTTTGAGCCCTTTCTAGAATGTGTGAGTCCCCTTTTAGACAAGGACTCGCGGGATGGATGCAGTTTTCCAGTCTTGACCTCACCAGAGATGTATATAAGGAGGTGAACATATCTCTGGTGATTCTAGTGAAGGCTGTGCGAATTGCCCATAAGGACCTGAAACTACGTGCAGCCACCGCGTGACAGTATGCTGTAGTTTTTAAGTCGTGGCTAACTATGACACCTAAGTCCAAGTGAGTCTGAAGTGATGGAAGTGTTATTCCCCCTAGTTCGTAGGAGCTCGTGCTAGCTTGTCCAATGCGCATGGTTGCACATTTTGCCACATTTATCGGGAGCATCCATTCTATGGACCACTCCGACAATTTTTTGAGGCCCTCTTGCAACGTGGATGTGCCAGTGTCGCCCCTCAGCTCTCTCCAAATTTTTAAGTCATTTGTGTACAGGACCATAGGGGATTTAGTGAGCAGGGATAACTCAGTGATATACAAAATAAATAGGAGAGGTCCGAGTACCACACTTCGCTACGCAATTTTGTCCAAGAGGAAAGTTTCCAGTTGATTCTAACCCTCTGCCTCCTGTCTATGAGGAATTCCCTAGTCCAGTTTTGTAAGCTGTCTTTGATACCAGGACTTTCCAACTTCATGAGTAGTCTCTTGTGAGGAACCTTATCGAAGGCTTTGCTGAAGTCTATGAAGACGACGTCAACAGGTCTTCTGTTGTCCCTTGATTTGACC